ACACCAGCAAGTTCCACAGGATGCTCTCCTTTTCACATCCCACCAGCAAGAGAGCTTTACCCTGCGGCTCTTCCTCACACCTCCTTCCACAGATCACTTCCGCCCATGGGTCCACCCCCCCAATGGGCGTGGTCAGTGCCACAGAAGGAGACAAAGTGAATATCCCACTACAATTCCCCTTTTAGTCTAAAGAAAAGATTTAGGCTTGATACAAAACTATATACAAAACAGTGAATAACAAGTGTGCTCTAAGAAAAGGAAAATCGAGAACAAAACGACCTACATTTTTAGTCCTAGGGTGAAGGCATAACGGAGTTTACAATAGAGTTGTCTTAAGTCTAATATATCTAACTAGGAAGAGAGAATAATAGTTGTGATAGTTTAATCTTCAACCTCATCAAGACCTGAGAAGGAAAATAACGATACTAGGGTAGACAGGAAGTACGGATGGGCAACTTCCAAAAGGTGCAGCGAGGACAGAAACAGCAGGCTACCTGCACAGTCACCCAAAGTCTCACAGCAATGTTGGTACACCCAGTTTTGATTAAGGCCAAGAGTACTTGACAGACCACAACAACAGCAGGGAGGTAGAAAGGCTGTCTTACCCTGACTTGGCAAGGTTCAGCAGTCTTCTATATTTGTCTCCTGCAAGCTCACAGGACTGCATGTCCAAATCAGTGGTCAAGGTGGGGGCAGTTCTTTGCCCAAGAGGCCATTAGCTGAGTCAAGAATGGACTCCAGCAGGAGCAGCAACAGTGTCCAACATATTTTCAGGAAAGTGCATGGTGCTGTCAGGAGCAACAGTGTCTCATGTCAATGGAGTACTAATATTAAAACATTTAAATGCCATGTTCTGCATGTCTATGAAGTGATTGAAGATTAAGCATCTATGTCTGACTAATCTCATAGGTAAAGGAAACATGAGTGAAGATAATCTGTAATACTCAGGAACTTAGCTAAAAAACTGAATGAAACTTCCTTGAGTAAAGCAGTAACAAATACCTAAACAATATAACTATGTACACATACATACATATAAATCCCTAAAATAGAGGTAGAGTAGAAATGTCTAGACAAGAGGTAGAACTATAAAGGGCAGCATGATAAATATCCCATATTGTATCAATATACAAAATGTCTGGAACACAAGCAAACGTACTTGGTGATGCACACCTTTAATCCCAGAAGTTGGGAGGTAGAGACTGGCAAGATACCTGTGAGTTAGAGGCCAGCCAGATCTTGGTAGCAAATTCTAGGTCAGCCAGAGCTACATAGTGAGACCCTCTTTTGTTTTCTTTTCAATACAAGGTTTCTTAGTGTAGCAGTCCTGGCTGTTCTAGAACTAGCTATGTGGACCAGGCCAGTCTTGAACTCACAGAGATCCCTCTGTTCATGCCTCCCATATCCTGGGATTAAAGGTGTGTACTACCATAGCCTAGTAAGACCATGCCTTAAAAAAATAATTAAAAAATATTGTGTGCTTCAGGAAGTTATTTACAGTTGATCCAAATTTCATTAAAATATGTTACAAAAGTAGTTTTCACAGTTGTGGGAAGACACTATAATCAAGGCAACTTTTATAAAAGAACAAATTTACTTAGGGGCTTGCTTTCAGTTTCAGGGAATTAGACCATTATCATCATTGTGAGGGTGTGGCAGGAGCTACTGATCATCACTGGATCAGTAGCTGAGAGTTATATTCTGACTGACACTCATGTGCACACACCTACACATACATACACATAAACCTAATTAACAAAATGAATTCTTGCCAGGCGGTGGTGGCACATGCCTTTAATCCTATCACTCCAGGGGCAGAGGCAGGCCAACCTGTGAGTTCAAGGCCAACCTTTGTCTACAGAGTGAGTTCCACGACAGGCTCCAAAGCTATAGAGAAACCACCTCCCCCACCCCCAAAATGATTCTTTAAAAAATTTACCTGAGCTAAGATCAAACTTTCTCTGCCTTCCTAGATATCAAAAAAGCAGGGCATAGATTTACAATGACAAAGGTGCCCTCTTCCTTGCACTACCAGGAAGTTAAACCCTGAAGATGCCAGCCAGACCCAGACCCAGAGGAACCTTCATGGCCTGACCTTACCAACAGGCTCTGGTGTCATTTATCTGCATCCCCATGATTTCCCACCCTAGAGACACGGAACCCTTTTCCTCACCTGACTTGGTGCCGAACACCTCCCATCTCAGCACCCTGTGAAGCAGAGACAAGGAGCTGGAGTTTGAGAATAGCTGGGGTGCAGAGCAAAAGCTTGTCTCAACAACAACATCAAACAGCAAACCTTCCAAAGTCCTTTCCTTTGTCCGGTCCTTCACTGTTGTCTAGTGAAGATCTGTACCAGCTGGTCATCTGAGTCACCTCTCTGGAAATGACTCCTTCCCTGGGGTCCCCCTGCGCGTGTAGAGCGTTTACATCAGTAAGCGCCCAGTTGTGTTTGTCCTACTGGTTTTTCTTTCGTTACTGGGGTTCATTCCAAGTATTGGGGAATATTATTTTAAGGTGGGTGACTTTAGTTTTTGCTGTGTTACTGTGCCTGTCTAAAACACCTGGTGGCCCTAAAAAAGAGATGAATACTCAATATCAAGGCAGGGGCAAGGATAGGTAGCCTGCAGCTTGCCTAAATTAGCTGCCTCCTAAATTCTAGGAGTATAGCCATGTGCCACCACATCTGGCCCAACTACTGGACTTTATAGAAAAAGTATGTTTAGTTTTATTAACTATCAAGAGCCTTTGGAATCAGCTGACCCATTTTGTACTATCATTAGCACTGGATGAGAGAGCTTGACCTTGACACCCTAGTAGGCAGTGTTATCGGCATGTTGGAGATTAGCCTATCTATCTATCTATCTATCTATCTATCTATCTATCTATCTATCTATCCATCCATCCATCCATCCATCTTTGAAACAAGGTCTCACCATGTAGCTTTGGCTGACCTGGAACTCTCCATGTTGATCAGGCTGACCTTGAACTTCAGTGCTGGGGTTAAAAGTGTGCACCATGGAGCCTGGCCTGCTTTTTCTATTTTTTAAATTGTTATGCTTATTTTCTTAATATTAAAACATTCTTTAGATTCATTTTAAATTTACAGAAGATTATCTTTTCCTTCACTACTTCCCAGTTTACTGTCACTGTGACCTTCTTCCTGAAGACATAACTCAGTCAGAGGAGCATCTCCTTCTCTGCAGGCCAAGGCTGGCCGGGTGCTGCAAGTGCAACTCAGAAAGGGTAATAGGAATGTTTTGAATATGTTCATGTTTAAAAGCACTAAACTTGACAAACAGATTCTCAAGATTCTGGATTTGCATAAGAAATGGTAATCAGGGAGGCTCAGTAATGTATCTCTTGAACCAAATGCATTGGAACACTATTAATGAGTGTGAAAAATAATAAATGACATGGCCTACACATCTGAGTATCTGCAAGCATTTGCCTTCCCCTGTTTTGAAGTGACGATGATGGATTCGAATTTGTCATAGGACAAATTGCCCTGATGGCAACTTTTTCTTGAGTAAAAGGGAGCCATGGAAGGAAGGCTACTGAGATGCAATGGAAAAGGAGCAGAATTTTCTCTTCCATGTCTACATTAGTACACAATAAGTTTCCAAAGGAATGCATGTCAATAACAACATGAAAATGGACTTTGCTGAGCCTGGTGGCAAATGCCTTTAATCTCAGCACTTTCTGGGTAGAGGTGGGCAGACCTCTGTGAATTCAAGACCAGTTTGGTCTAAAAAGCAACAAGTTCAGATCAGTTAGGACTACACAGACAAAACTTGCCTCAAAAAGGAAGAGAAAAGAGGGGTGAGGGGCGGGGGGAAATGGAGGACTTGATGGTTTCTCCAACTACCTTTCTTTACAAATGGCGATGAATGTTTTCTCCAATGATGATTAGATAAGATAGAATAAAACATACTTAGCCTTATCTTATTTCTCCCCTCTGCACCTTCCCCCCTCAAAAAAGCAGGGTTTCTCTGTGTAGCTGTTGTCCAGGCACTCCGTAGAACAGGCTAGCCTTGAACTCAGAGACTCACCAGCCTCTGCCTCTGAGTGTTAGGACTAAAGGCATGCGACACCATACCCTATTTTATTTTTTTAAAACTGTCTATTTTAACTCCGGCAGTGGTAGCACACACCCTTAATCCCAGCGCTCAGGATGTAATTTGTTAAGCAGTTTTCATTCAACAGATATTCAAGGTCACACAGGGTCTGCATTCAAATTCTGGTTTATCTAGGGCTACAGTCTGTTAAACTTTTCTGAAGACTTCTGTTAGACTGTTACTGTGTCAGTTTCCAATGTGGTCTTAATTCCCTAGCTGATTTAGGCTGGTCCGAAGGTATTGAGTTATCTCAATTGGTCGTTCACAATCAGTTACAAATAGTTGTTTTGTGTTAGCATACCAGCCTCAAGGGGGGGGGGGGACTTTACTAAGAAAGTCCCTTTTGTACCAATATGTACCAATATAGAGAAAACATTTTTTAACATCAGCTAAACATTCTCAGAGTTACATACAAGTAAGGAGAAAGAAAGCCGCTGTAAAGACTGGGGAGAATTTTATACTATGTTAACTATTTTGTGAACCACGCTTATTTCAGCATAATCCAGTCTAAAAAAAACTGAAACGGACACGATTAGAAGCTGGGCCACGGGTGAGGGCGGGGCCTCAACCGCAGGGATTGGACGGGGGAGGGGGGGTGGAGGCTGGGGAGGGGCCACAGTGACGCTGGGAGGGACTAGGGCGCTGGGCGGGGCCTTAGCCGCAGGGGCTGGAACAAGGGGGGTGGGGGAAGAGACTGGGATCTCGGCCACAACGACGCGGGGCGGGGCTCTGGGCGGGGCTCTGGGCGGGGCCGCAGCAGCAGAGGTGGGGCTACATCGGCGGGGCGGAGTACGGAAGCCGAGCAGGTTCGGCGCCTGGGCCGAAGGCTTGTTCGTTCACCGGTGTTGTCGCAGTTCCGGCCCGGCGTCTGCGAGCTCTGGCGGTCGGAGGCTGCTCTGGCGGCAGGCGCCGGTAGCGGTGCGTGTCCCGCTCCGCCGGCACAGCTCCCGCAGGATCCCCGGCTGGCCCGGGCCGGGTGGCCGCACTCACGGCGGCTCCGCCGCAGGCGCCGAGCGAGCAGCAGCCCGCGTCCTCCGAGGTCGGCGTCATGAGGAGCCTGCCGTTCTTCTGCCGCGGCCAGGTGGTGCGTGGCTTCGGCCGCGGCTCCAAGCAGCTGGGCATCCCCACGGGTGAGCGCCTGGTGGGGCCGGGGGCTCCGGGCCGGGGGGCAGGGGATCGGGATCCAGGTTAGCCGCGCTCCTGCCGCTGTCGCCCAGCTGCGGAGCCCGGTCCGGGGCGGTACTGCAGGATGAATTGGCCGAACTCTCAAGCTGTTCAAAGTTCTATTCAGATGTGACTGTGTAGTGATCAGTGGCAGCAGGGGTAGTTAGTTCTATGAGAGCCAGCGTTTATTTGGGCTGACTACGTGAGTTTTAGTAATCAAGATTTTTTTTTTTCCTGCCGGTCCTCAAAGATGATACCTAGGCTGCTTCTTGACCCATTGAACTTGGGATTTGGGTTTGTGTATTTTGAAAATAAGAATCTGTTTAAATGACTCAGCCTGCTTAGGAGCGTTACTAGGAAAGAGGTGGGACTTTCCGTTTGTTTTAATTCTAATAGACGGGGTTTGGGTGTTTCCCAAGCTGCCAGCTTACTTCCTGAGCTCAGATCTCTTATAGTGGGACTAGGGATATGGGTAGTGTCTGATAATCCTGCCCGTTCATTTTATGTTTTACTTTCCACTTGGACGTTTTCGTGTGGATTTTTCGAGATATCCACACACTTGCCTTTTGCCTTATTCCTAACCTGTGCATCTGAAGAGAAGTAATTCCAGCCAGAATATGGAGGATTGGATTGGGAGTCGGAGTGTCTTCGGGCTAATCTTTTGATGTGGTTTTAATCAATATTTAGTATGAAACTTGTAATGAATATCTGTTTATTTCTCTTTAGCCAATTTTCCTGAACAAGTAGTAGACAATCTTCCAGCTGATGTGTCCACTGGCATTTATTATGGCTGGGCCAGTGTCGGGAGCGGAGATGTCCATAAAATGGTAGTGAGCATAGGATGGAACCCATACTACAAGAATGTGAAAAAGTCCATGGTAAGAAGCCAATTTTGCTCTATTAATTGCACACAGTAAAGTATCAGACGTGGTGGGGAGGGAACATGAGTTCAAGAATAACTTGGGTGACCAGGTGTGGTGTCACACGCCTTTAATTCCAGCACTTGGGATGTAGAGGTGGGCGGATTTCTGTAAGTTCAAGGCTGACTGGTCTCGTAATGAATTCCAGGGAAGCGAAGACTACATAGAGAGAACCTGTCTGAAAACAACAACAAAACAAAAAGAATGGCCTGCGCTGTCCTACATTTCCACTTCATTTCTGCTGACCCCCCCATTTTTACTTTCATGAGTGGATTTTATTTTCTCCATGTTTTTTTCTGTTTCCTTTGACTACATTGAGTCTCCCCATAAGAGGCATGTGTGTGTGTAGTTGGATCAGGTTTTGTAATAATTTTCTGCTAACTTGCTAACCTCTCTGCTTTTTGGTTGATAAGTTTAATCCATTTAAATAAAATGTTTTATTTTTAATTGTTGTTTGTGTGGATGTGCACATGGGCTCAGGTAACCCATGGAGGCCCAAAAAAGGGAGTTGGGTCCCCTGGAATTGTCCAATGTGGGTGCTGGGAACAAAACTCAGGTCCTCACAGGCTTTTAACTGCTGAGCTGTAACCCCAGCGCCCCATTTAAAATTTAAAGTAAGTGCTGAAACCACACTATTGGGCATTCCTATAATCCTAACACTTAGACAATGATGCAGGAGGATAGCAAAAATAGCCTGGATTGTATTGTGAGACCCTATCTCAAAAAAGAGTCATTGCTGGTATTGCTTTTTTGTTTTCAGTGTGTCCTGTAAGTGGTAATTTCCCTCAATGCTGCCTGTTTTATTTAGGTTATTTTTCTTTTTGAGACAGGAAAACTGTACTCCTCCTACTTCAGCCTGTCTAGTGCTGGATGACACTTGTGCTACCAGGAGCTGAAACAATGTTTTTGTAATTGTTGTGCAATTATATTTATGAGAAATAAAAGTGAGATATTATTGTTTTTGACACAGGGTCTCACTGCCTGGAACTCACAGAGATCCATCCACCTGCCTCTGCCTCTCCAGTGCTGAGGCTAAAGGGCATCGTGCCCAGCTGTTTTGTTTAAGGCAGGGTCTTTCTATTTAGCACAGATTGGTGTGGAACTCACCCAGTAGCCCAGGACCCCAAGATACTCTGTGTCTCAGCCTTCTAAGTGTTGGGATTCCAGGTGTGGACCACCAAGCAGGTTCAAAAGTGAGGCTCTTCAAAAACCATTTCGTACAATTGGTCTTTGCCACAGTTAGTATTTCAGAGTTTACTTGCTTGATTGCCTTTGGACTGCTTACTGAGCATGGCTCAACTTCATTCCTGTTGTCTCTGTTTTTTTAAACATTGCTGGGAATCATATCCAGGGCCATAGCATAATAGGCCAGTGTTCTATTTAGCTACCCTCCTAGCCTCTCTCTCTAAAATCACCTTTAGGGTATAGTCTTTTGTTTTTCATTTGTTTGGTTTTTTGAGACAGGGTTTCTCCTCTGTGTAGCTTTGGGGCCTGTTGCCTCTGCATTTGGAGCACTGGGATTAAACCCATGCGCCACCACATGGCAAAATGTGTAGCCCAGGCTGGCCTCGAACTCCTCCTGCCTCTGCATCTTTCAGCAAATCCTTCTGGCATGCGCCACCACAACTGGCTTTATTTTTTTACTGCCCTACTTTTCCCCACAAGAGTCCCCACAGCTTAAATACTTGTTGGATTTGGGTTAATCTTTGGTAGACCAAAGTGAAAAAGCAGTTAATGGAAAAATTTTATTTTGAACTATGGTGTTGCTATGTAGCCCTATGACCTTGAACTCATAAGCCATCCTCTGCCTATGCTTCTGGCTCCTTAGTGCCAGGGTGCCAGGCTGTGCCAGCACACTGAATTTTTAACTTTGAGGAGTAATAAGGGAGGAGTGTATCATAGAACAGAGAACTGCAGAGCTAACTGTTGATGTAATAGATCAGTGGTTCTCAACCTTCCTAGCTGTGACCCTTTAATACAGTTCCCACATACAGACCCCCAACTGTACAGTTATTTTTGTTGCTACTTTGTAGCTGTAGTTTTTCTACTCTTAAGATTGGTAATGTAAGTGTTTTTGGAGTTAGAGGTTTCCCAAGGTGGTCTTGACCTACAGGTAGAGAACTGTTGAAATAGTAATGACCTTGAATTCTAAGGGTTTGAGCTTTGCTGACTAGTGGGGTGAAATTGTTGAGACAAGGAAAGAGTTGGTGAGAGAACATGCACATGCATTTTTTGGGGGAGAGGAATGGAAAGGGAGGAGAGGCTTGTAATTTACTCAGATAAGAGAAATAATAACAAGCCATTTCTAAACAGCCTAGAATCCTGATAAGAGAAATTCAGTTACCCCACTGTCAAGATGCTCATGCATTTCAGCACAGGCTGCTTATTTTAATACTGTTATTTGCCAATAACAGCCATCCATGAAAGTCTTGCCCTAAACACAATAGGGCAAAATATTAATTTTTATATAGCCCAAGTCATCATTTTCTTTTATAGGTAGTGTTTTTAATAATCTAATGGGGATCAAACTCAGGTCTGCTATATTGGTGCCAGCCACCTTTAACTACTAAGCCATCACAACATTTGCCTCACCTGTTGAGAAATGTTCTCCATACTTTAGTGTGATCTGACTCAGTAATGTTGCCTCAGCAGCCAGAGTGCTGGGATTACAGGAGCTATTGCCTATCCTCACCACGCTGCTTGAGTTTCCATAGCATTAGATAATGTACCTCTTCCTCCATTGAGCCTAAGACCCTGCCCATGTCTAACAAGTCCTCTGAGCCATATCTCCCAAGCCCTACCCCTTTTTGTGTTGAGATGGCTTCACTAAGTTGCCCAGGCTGCCCTTGCCCTTGCTCTGTAGTCCAGGCAGGCAAGAGCCTCATGTCACAGCCTCCCCAAGAAGCTGGAATTGTTTGTAGGCCTGCACCACCAGGCTTGATACTTAGTGTAAGTTCTCCAGCTCTGTTTTTTAAGATTTTGCTCTGTTTTTAAGATTTTCTTGGATACTTTTTTTTTTAACCTTATCAGCTGTTAGAATACCTTGCTAGTTTTTCTGTTGCTCTTATTTTTAAGGGTCTTCTTGAATGTGGATATAAAAGAGAAAGGGTGCCAAGTACTTCTTCTAAATTTTGAAGATGGGGAAGAAGGGTATGGCGGCTAGGGCTTTGCCAGTGCTCCTCAGTTAGCTGACTCAGGCTCTGTGCAGCCTGGAGGCACAGGCTTGTAATCTCAATCCCCAGGGCACAGAACCCAGGGGAGCTCACAGCCACCTTGGGCTGCAGGCAAGACCTGGAAAGACTGGCAGTGAATGAGTGGCTGGGATTTGATCCATATTAGGGAAAGGGAAAAGAGAACCTGCCTGGAGGAAAAGAGGTTTTGCTCTAGGCTTTTACTTTTAAAAACTGCTTTCTCTCTGGAGGTGTGGCACTTTTAATACCAGCACTCCCGGGAGGCAGACGCAAGGAGATCTGAGTTTCTAGGCCCATCTGGTCTACAGAGTGAGTTCTAGGACAGCCAGGGCTACACAGAGAAACCCTGTCTTGACAAACCAAAAAATTTGAATTTTTTTTTATTCTTCCTTTTTGGGTCTGAATCATATTTCAAGTGTACATGGTTGGTTATCTTACTATCTTAGGCAAGAAACAATATCATATTCTTGTGTTTGGTTTGTTTTTAAATAGGTCATTCATAATTTTATTTTAAATGCCTCTTGCTCTGAATGATTATAGCTATACTCAAGTATTTGTGGTAGATGTTATGATAAAGCATGTGGGGGACCATGGTGGATCCATGGCAGTCAGAGGGGGATAGGGATGTGTGGGGGGGGCATACACAAACATGCCAGGCAGATAGAGCTTAAGTGGGAAGTTTTATTAGAAAGTGTGTGTGTGGGGGGGGGGAGGTAGAGGAACACAGAGGTGGAGAGGACAGAAGAGGAGATAGCAAATGTCCTGTGTGCCCCAAAGGGACAGTGGAAAAGAGAGTAAGTGGGCGGGGTCTTTCTTTTAAAAAGTCCTTTGCATCTGTGTGCAGAATGTGATGCCATGGAACCCTGACCAGGGTACTTACTGCCTGAGTGCATTCTGTTAGGTGACATGGGCAGGTCAGCATAATGCCTGAATCCTTACAATAAGATACTTTAATTTTAAGGCTAATTTCATAAACTAGGTATCCTAAAGTCATATAAAAATATATCCCAAGATATATATTTCTAGTTTACATTTAAAATTGCCAGTCCTAATTTCATCTGGTATAGCCTTTCCTGTTTACTTCTTTGAGTGTGTGTGTTTGGTGTGGGGAAGGGGGCCAGTGTGCATGTGTGCCTGTAGACAGGGTCTTTATAGCACAGGGAAGCCTGGAATTTTCTAGGTAGCAGAGCTCTGAACTCTAGGTTTCTTTCCTCAGTCTCTTGTGCTGGGGTTGTAGGTGTGCACCACCGTGCTGAATTCGGCCTCCTGGTCTTAGATGTCTTTGTGGGGAGAGGCTGCTAAAACCCGAGTGGCTCAGTTCCATCTCCCAAGTCCTTTTAAACAGGGGGCAGGCCAAGACTGATAGAGTCTTTTATTATTATTATTTTTAAAGTATTGATTTTTTTTTTTCCCCCTGAGACAGGGTTTCTCTGTGTAACCCTGGCTGTCCTAGAACTCTAGACCAGGCTGGCTCGAACTCAGAGATGCACCTGCCTCATTAAAGGCATGGGCCACCACTGCCCAGTTAAATTCATTTATTTTATTTTATACATATAAATGTTTTGTCTGCATGTATGTTCGTGCCTGGTGTCAGAGGAGGCCAGAAGAGAGTGTTGGATCTCCTGGAAATGGAGTTACACACAGTTATGTCGCAATCCTCTGGATCCTGGGAATCCAACCTGGGTCTTCTGGAAGAATAGATCTGGCTTTCAAGTAGTTGTTGAGCCATCTCTACAGCTTCCCCTGCCCCCCCCTCACACACACCATGGTAATCTTTGTTTTAACATTTTTTGTTTGTAGGAAACCCACATCATACATACCTTCAAAGAGGACTTCTATGGGGAAATTCTCAATGTGGCCATTGTTGGCTACCTCAGACCAGAAAAGAACTTTGATTCTTTAGGTAAGAATTTATATGAATCTTCTACACCTGTTCCTAAGTGGTCACAATGACAGGGCATAGATTTGAGCATTTAATTCATGTTAGGCACTATTTTAAGTGTCATATACAAGTTAATCCCTTCGTCACCCACAGTAGCCATGTGAGGTGTATGCCTATCTTACTGATAAGGAAATTGACACACAGAGATTAAGTAGCTTGTCTTAGTCTGTTTTCTGGTGGTCTGACTGAATACCTGGTGTTTATTTGGTGCTGAGTTCTGGATGCTGGAGTCATTAGTGCCAGCATGTGGTCAGGGCCTTCTCTCTGCCTCAGTGGGTGGCATCACAGGGTAGACCAGAAGAGGGCTAGGAAGAGCTCACTCTTGTATCACAGTCACTCCCTGGGTGCTCACAAATCCATTTGCCCCCATGGCCCAGTCCCTTCCCAGAGTTTCCTCTTCCGAATACCTTCGACCTTAGGGACTGTTTGTTTAACATGAATTCCAGGGCACACCCAAGTCACAGCAGTTAGCTAGTGATGACACCTGGCATCTAACCTGCAAGGCTGGCTGGCAGTAGGTGCTGGACATATAAGAAACAGTAGTTAGGAGATTGGTCCCAGTGTCAAGTCCCTATTGGTATAGAATGAGAATTAAAATCCCATTAGGGAAAGGTTTCTTTACAAGAGAACTCTTTATATAGCACTGACTTTTCCCTGGAGAAAGAAAGGGTATGAGCAATTATTGAGCCCTTGTCCTTTGCCAGGCATGTGGGGCTAGGGTGGCTGAGCAAAAGAGTAGTAAAATGTATTAGCAGTTTATCTTTTTCCTTTTTTTTTTCCCCCCCCAGAATCACTTATTTCAGCAATTCAAGGTGATATTGAAGAAGCTAAAAAGCAGCTGGATTTACCAGAACATTTGAAATTCAAAGATGACAATTTCTTCCAAGTTTCCAAGGACAAAATTATGAATGGTCACTGAAAAGTACCTTATCTGTCCACTAACTGTAGTGTCTTGTTGCCTGTGATACAATCTCACCTTGGTCATATTTTAAATGGAACCTTTCTCTGTAGCTGTCAAGTGGTCTTCAGCTATTAACTCCATCATGTTATATAGTACTAAAAGATTCATTCAAAAATCAAGACTTTTAAAAAGTATTATGTTGATTAGAATGGAGCACTAGAGAGCTAGTGTCTTGTAGTGGAAATAAAGTCTGTGAATGTGGGCAGAAAGGAAGACTGGCTGCTGTTCTCATAACCGCGTGTGCTGGCGCCGCTCTACGGGTCCTTTCCCAGGAAATGAGGCACACAGAACTTACCCAGGAAGGAAGATCTAGAGTGAATGTATTAATAAATTTTGCAGACCTATGGATTTGTTCCCATGAGGCTATTTCATTTAGTGTCCCAGTGTCTGAATAGAATTATTTCAGCTTGAAGTGGCCTCAGTTTTCCCGGCATCAGGGTTTTTGCTTTTCTGCACAGTACTGAAGATTGAACCCAGGCCCTTACACAATAGGCAGGAATGGCCACTGAGTCCCAGCCGCCTGTCCTTTTTAAGCCATACGGTGTCTTGCTTTCATGTTGTTAAATGCCTCTTTAACAGTTTTTTTTGGCTTTGGTTCATTCTCCCCCCCCCCCCCTTTAAGTGATTGATGTAATTTGTGTTTGGAGTATCCTACAACCATGTGCTTCAGAGACTGCATGTGTGTGTGTCATCCCATTCATTACCATGTGAGTGGTGGTCAGTACATGTAGAACCCACTTCATTTATAGGCTTCCTTGGGATTGAAATGAACACATATATATGTTTCTCCGTTTGAGACAGGCTTCCATTATGTAGCTCTGGCTGGTTTCAGATTCAGAGATCCACCTCTCTTTGCACTGGGATTAAAGGATTGCACCACCAGGCTTGGTCTTCTTAAAAGGACACAAGATGACCTATAAGTATTGTTTTTACAAAGTGTGGTCCTATGTTTTCAAAGTAAATGTAACTTTGTGTAGCTCTGTGTGAATGGCTACTTCAATATAATCTATTGCTCATCTAAGTCCTTTCTCCCAGTTCCCCTCTTACTCTAACTTTTGGTGGCTTGAGTTCTTCACACTTGAAATTGAATTACTGATCATTTTGTGCTCATCAGCACATTGAATCATTGCTATATGGCAGATTTGCAGGTTTGGAGGCACTGTCTGGTGGGAGGGTACACATTAACCTAGGAAGGCAGTTTGTTTGTTTTTCGTTTGTTTTATGTGTGTGTTTGAGATGGTCTCTCGGTGTAACCCTGGCTGTCCTGCATCACTGTGTAGACCAGGCTGGTTTTTCAAATCATGAAGATCCATCTACCTCTGCCTCCTGAGTACTGGGGTTAAAGGTGTGCACCACCATCGTCCAGCACATGAAAAAGGCAATTTTAGCCACGCATACATGTGATTTGTGCATGTGTTTTGCAAGTGGGGTGTGGTGAGGAATGGAGCTCAGTCAGCTTTATGAATGTTAGGCAAGTGCTCTGCCACCGAGCTATATCCCTAGCCTTGAAAGTAGAATTTTTGATGATGGAAGTTCTCTACTTAAAAGAAGCTTTGATATCAGTGGATTTATGAAACAAAGGTAAAAATAAACATGGAAAGTACAAGAATAGATTTGCGTTTATTCAGTAAGAATAGCTTGCTGATAATTACAGTTCATTAAGTATGTGAAGGAAAGTTCATTGCTAATGTCATCTCACATTGTTTTAAACAGTGCAGTGATTGCTTTGTAATAATTGTGTGTGGTCTGGAGGTTCTCTGGAGTTCTGTATTGTTGATGTATTATAAGAAATTATAGTACCACTTTGATTAGTCTGAATGTTTTCAGGCCTTGAAATAAATTTTGACTATGTGTTACTTTTTTCTTTTCCTCCTTAGCTTGGTCTTCTCTGTTTCAAATGTACTGTCTGGTTGTTACTTTAAGGTGTGTTTATGAGTCTGAACAGAACTATGAAGTAGTGGTGCCCTATAAGACTTAAGAGCCTTGCCTTCAAGGACACCGCCCACCCAGCCCCTTCCATACGCGCACCTTCCCTCCCTCTATTTATTTATTTATTTATTTACTCATTCATTTATTTATTTGAGACAAGGCCTTTGAATCCCTGACTGACCTTGAATGTACATTGATCCACCTACCTCTACTTTTTGAGTGCTGGGATTATAAGTGCATCAAGCCTGGCCAAGACTCCTTTAATGCTGTAGCAAGGTGCTTGGGTTTACTTGGGAAGTACTCAGAGGATGTAAGTACTTAAAAGTCAACGCTTTAAGGATGAAGGTTCCCATTGGGAGTTAAAGAAAAAAGTTTAAATCTGACTCTCTTGTGTAATCCTTAGAGAGTTCTGTAACTATGGCTTATGCCATCAATCTGTTTGCTACATGTAAGTACATTTCAGCACTCATCTGAACTCTTCTGGGATGGTTTAGCAGCTTGCAATTAGGGCACTTGTGTGACAGGGATGTGTAAGGACCAGTAGCTTGGAAATAAAGAGGACCATTTTGCTTTCCTGATTAACTTTCTGTGTTTTTCTGTTCTCCTTGTACGTGGAAGAGCAGTTGTGAGATAGATGGAGGAGAATCAGTTGAACCTTTAGAGACTCAGCTAGGACACAAATCAACACTGCCAAAGGAGATGCTATTATAAGGGCAGGTCAGAAACATTGGAGAGCAAATTTCCCATAGATAGCAGATAGTCTTAGAACTCGAAATGACTAACGAATATAGAGAATAAAGATGGGTAGCATGTTCCTGGAGCTCTAGCATTGGGGGGGCTGAAACAAGGTCACTTCAGCCCAGAAGTTTGAGGAGACCAGCCTGATGAGCATAGGAGGACCCTAGAAAGGGAAGTGGGATGGGGTGTGGGGGATAGCACAGTGGTAGGAGCTATACTTGGCATGTGAGGCACTGGCTTCAGTCTCCAGCACCAAAGCCAAAGCAATAACAAAAATTTATATTTGGAGAGTGTTCAGAAAGTTGGGAAACAGGATAAACTTTTGAGTTGGCTTCTTGTTCTTTGTTTTGCTTTTGTTTTTGTTACAGAATTTTACTGTGTATATATTCTAGGCCCACTTGGAATTCACTGAGGTCATCAGGCCTCAGCCTCCCAAGTGTTGGGATTATGTATAATCCATTATGTCTGACCTCAGTAGAACATACTCTGTTGTGCTACAGATGAAACCTCAAGTCACATGCATGCTAGGCAAGCAGTCTCATTTGAGCTACATCCCCGACCTCTGGAACCCTTAATGTCACTACTTATTTGTGTTAAGAGCATATAACATATTTTAGGATGAGTTTAATTTGAGATAAGGTTTCTCTACATATAGCTCTTGCTGACCTTGGACTCAGAGATCCACCTGCCTCTGCCTCCCAAGTGTTAGGATTAAAATTGTGTGCCACCATGCCCAGCTTAAATTAGTTTGTTTCCTGTTTTATCTGGTGTGCATGTTGTAAGTGGCTAGGTATGTGCACCACAGTGGATATGTGAGGGTTAAATAATCATATGAGTTCCTTGGATTGAATTCAGATTGTCAAATCTGGCAGCAGGTGCCCTTATGCACTTGACCATCTTGGTCTGGATTCTAACTTTAGAGACAGAGTCTTGTTATATTTCTCAGACTGGCCTTGAGCTTAAAATCCTACCTAAAACTCCCAAGTGTTAGTTTTACAGGTGTGCTCCACTGTGGCTGAAGCTGGTTTTAATCAGTCAACTTGCTTCTTCGTGTAGAAGTTCGTATTCTCCAGTTTCACACCAACATTTTAATTTTATGTTTTTGAGTGCTTGACTGCGTGCATATCTGTGTACCACATGTGTACAGTGTCCAAGGAGGCTAGAAGAGGGTGTCATCATGCCCTGGGACTAGTGTTATAGGTGGTTTTAGAGCCACCATGTGAATGTGCTAGGAATTGAACTCATGTCCTCTAGAAGAGCAACCAGTACTCTTGACTGCAATCCCTTCCCAAGGAATTTCATTTTCTACACAGTGTATGCATGAGCTAAATGTAATGTTTTTGGAATATAAAGACTGGAAGTTACCTTAGGGAATGAGGTGTGATTTTGTCCAGAGCCAGGTACCTTAATTTCTTGCTGTTGTGCTAGTCAATCAAGGGACAAAGGTCCTTTTAGACTGTTTTGAGTTTTCCATGTTTTCTGGGGCTGAACAGGGAGTCATTTTACTTACAGGTTCGATGACATTTGACAGTAAAGGTTGCCCATGTAGCCTTTGTGTTAGTTGCAGGGTGTGTGTGTGTGTATGTGTGTGTTGGCAGAGCCACCATAGTGTCAGGTGTGCTTTCATGGGGTTCAGGTAAGACCTTAGTTGGTCTTGTGTGTATTCAGTTCCCAGGCCTGGCTTTTCTGGCCCGGTTTTAGTATACACCATGTGCCCATTTATTCCCATCCCGGTCTACTTTGATAAGTTTATAAGTGGTACCTTTGACTTGTTTGTCCAGGTCACATTATGAGAGTGAAACCCTCCTGTCCCTCCCTGCCTAATACATCTGAAACAGCGCAGTAAGAGATGGCAAGGAGGCCAAGCATTAGGCTTTGTCTGCACCCCTACCCCGTGCAGCTGTCTGCCTGGGCTGGGAATGGGACGAGAGACCCCATTCTACGATGGCTGCCTCTAATGAGGAAGTAACAGAGAAAGAGGGGCAGAGGAGAGGTTTCCAGAATCCTGGTGTCTGAAGGGCCTCTTGGGAATCTGCTGAAGGGGGTACTGCACACTAAGGTGTTACAGCTGAGTTGCTTCAGAAGGAAAAATCACAGAGAATTTGCTTTCTTTAGAGATTGCAGTGATCTCAGCCGGGTTTGGACTTTTCCCCAAACCCAGCTATACCAGTCTTTCTCTGTCCCATTTGCCAGCTCCCAAGTAACCACATGGGAAGTTATTAATTATGAAAGCTCGGCCTTAGCTTAGGCTTGTTTCTAACTAGCTTTTATAACTTATATTCACCCATAGTTTTAAATCCACTTTGTTCCACACTTCCGTTACCTCATCTCATTATGCCCATCCTACTTCCTCTGCCTTTGTTCTTCCCAGAGCTCTCTCTGTCCAGAAGTCCCACCTGTTACCAACCCCCCCCCCAATCTATTGGCTGCTTATCTTTTTATTAAAGCAATC